AAAATCTCTTGTGTCCATCTCTGAATATGATGAGATTCAAATGCATGACCTAATTCAAGATATGGGTAAATATATAGTGAACTTGCAATAGAATTCGGGAGAACGCAGCAGACTATGGCTCGCCGAGGATTTCGAAGAAGTGATGATCAACAATACAGTAAGTAGGCTAAACAATGCAATAATATTTAATTTCTAATTTTTATATTCCAAAGATACATAGGCTAGTCAATTCCAATTATTTGTTCCTCTTTGATGATAGGCTATAATTGCATATTTTAGTCGCTTATTACACTCGAATTTACTGCACTTTAATTGAGTTTGCGCTTTAATCGCTAGTGTTTTGCACTAATTGTGTGTTTTATGCCTTGTAGGTGTGATTCCGAGCTATATAGATGTTATGGAATGAATTTAAGTGATTTGAAGCTTTGAAGTCTGAGTAAAAGCTCAAGGAATTAAGCCGGGATCGTGTTCGGGGGTCAAATTTGATAATTAAGTACGAACGAAGGCTTGAGGAGGCATATTGCGCACTGTCTAGTAAAATAGACATAACTTTTTGCTCAGAACTCCATTTGGGCTCCACAATATATGGTTGGAAAGCTAACTCAAAGGGCTACAACTTTCATGTTTTACGTTTTTCCAAATTTCAAACGGAACAGGGTGAAAAACCGCGGTTTTGCCGCGACCGCGGCAGAACCGCGGCAGAACCGCGGTGGAAGGCAGTTTCTGAAGAATGAAGAATCCGCGATGGCGTTTGGCCGCGGTTCCACCGCGATCGCGGTGAAAACGCGGTGGGAAGCGTAAATTTCAGGGGCTAAAGTGTAAAACATGGGATTTTAAGTCCTAAACCCTATATAAAACAAAGGAGGCCGGCCTAGAACAAGAAGAGGACATATTTTGGACACAAATTAGACCTAAGGAGGCGGAGAGACACTACTTTAGGGTTAGACAACACCCTTGGAGGCAAGAACACATTGGGAGCAAGGCGGAGAATTCTTCTACAAGTTTTTCCTTCCTCTTCCTATTTTTCATTGTTGGTTATGACTTTTAGTATTGTAGTTTTACATGCTATTATGAATAGCTAATTTGTTATCTAGAGTTTTGATAGAACCTTTTGTAGGATAAATTCTTGTTATGTTTTTATATAATTGAGCCATAGCTTTTCTCTATTTGTTCAACTACGTTTATATTCTAGTTGATTGAAGAGCTCTCAATTAGCTGGCCCTATTTAGTATGCATAACTCGGGAGAGAGTGCATATTTAGGTAATTGTTGAACAACACCACTCCCAAAGTATATGAGGGATCAATAACCGAGGGTTTAAAGGCGGGATTAGGGATAACGAAGCCTTGGGTGCGATCTAAAGTGAGTTGTATTAAAAGCCAACTAGCGTATCTCGGGAGAGTGCGTCTAGTAAATTGTCGTAATTACTCGGGAGAGATTTACGGTAATAAGAGTGCTCATGATCGGTAGAGAATACTTAGGCGAAATTATAGAAGACATAGCAGGAAGGATTCCGACAATTGGGGAAATCATAACTCTAGACCTCCTTAATCTTTTCTCTAACCCTCAGTATCTTTAGTTGTTAATTTACTATTTTAATTTGTTAGTTAAGTAGTTAAACACAAGAATCTTAATATCTATAAGTTAGGAATTGTTCAAGCTTGTCTTCTTGGTGATAGTGAACAGCTGTAGCTAAACCTTAGTTCTCTGTGGGATTCGATTCCGGACTTGTAAACCGGATTATATTTGCAACGACCGCATTGTCCTTTTTATAAGGCATAGTTGGGCGTGATCACTCTTGCTTCATGGTCTTGCAGGCACGTCATTTTAGTTGTTTACTTTACTTAGTAGGAGAAGCAAAAGTAATATTAATTGCCTAATTTGTTTAGCAGCCTCTTTAATTTATTTTGCCTAATTCGTTTTTCTTATATTTGTTAGTGATGGATTAGTCTAGTAGCCACTTAATCTGTTTAATCCAATTTCATTCTTTGGATTAACTTGAAAATTTTATGACATGTTATTACATAATAACTCAATTAGAGTGTAACGACCCGACCGGTCGTTTTGAGTTCTAGCGCTCCGTTCAGCAGCCTGAGGCCATGAGCAGTTTCATTTCAGGTATTATGACTTGTGCGCGTGGTCGGAATTGAATTTCGGGAAGTCCAGAGTTGATTTAGAAAGAGAATTCTTATTTTGAAAGCTTAAAGTTGAAAGAATGGGCTAGGATTGGGTTTTAAGTAAACGACCTCGGAATCGGGATCTGAAGGTTCCAGCAGGTTCGTATGATAAATTCGGACTTGGGCGTATGCCCGGTTCGGGTTTTGGATAACCCGGGAACGTTTTGGCGCCTATTATGGAAGTCAGCATTTTAGAAGAAATTTCATAAGTTTGGCTTGAAGTGCATTTCAGTGTTATCGATGTCCGTTTGGGATTCCGAGACTGGAATAGCTCCGTATGGTGATTCTGGAGTTGGGGGCGCGATCGGAAGTGAATTCGGAAGTCCGTGGGTCATTTTGGAACCATTTGGCTAAAGATAGAAATTTGAAGGTTTTTGAGAAGTTTGACCGGAGGTGGACTTTTTGATATCGGGGTCGGAATCCGATTCCGGAAGTTGCAGTAGGTCCGTAATGTCGAATATGACTTGTGTGCAAAATTTGAGGTCAATCGGACGTGATTTGATAGGTTTAAGCATCGAAAGTAAAAGTTTGAATTTTTGAAGTTCATTAAGTTTGGATTGGAGGTCGATTCATGATTTTAGCGTTGTTTGATGTGATTTGAAGCTTCGAGCGAGTCCGTAATGTGTTTTGGGATTGGTTGGTATGATTAGTTGGGGTCCCGGGGGCCTGGGTGGATTCCGGGTGGTTGACGGATCGATTTTTGGAGTTGAGGAAAAGCTCAAGCAGTTGGTATCTAGTATTTCCGCACCTGCGAAGTTTTGGCCGCAGGTGCGGAGCCGCAGAAGCGGCCAGGAAGACCGCAGATGCGGATTTTGGGTGAGGAAAGCTGGGACCGCAGATGCGGTCAGGGAGCCGCAGATGCGGGACCGCACCTGCGGAAAAGGGAGCGCAGAAAATGAAGCTGGGCGGCTTGGGAAGGAGCCGCAGAAGCGGCGTTCTGACCGCATAAGCGGAGCCGCATAAGCGGAAATGCCTGGAGGCAGAAAGTTTGTTTTAAAATCGGGGTTGAGTTCATTTCTCTCATTTTTTCAAGGCTTGGGCGATTTTTGGGGAGCTTCAAGAGGAGAGTTTCGTCATCAATGTTAAGGTAAGTTATCCCCACCTATTTTGAGTTGAATACATCAATTATGTATGGATTTGGGCATGAAAATTAGTATCAAAATGGAGGTTTTGGTGGAAAACCTAGAAAATTATATTCTTGAAATTTAGCCACGAAATTGAACATGGAATTAGGAGTAAATTGTATATTTGAGTTCATAAGGTCATGGGTAATCTTTATCTTCGAAAAATTTCGGATTCCGGGCAACTTTTCGACCGGAGTTAGGAATTGCTATAAATTAGATTGTAATGAACAATTGAGCATATATTAATGGATTTGCGTAACCATTGGCTAGTTTTGGAGCGTGGTGCATCAACTAGAGTCTTCGGAAGGGCGTGGAATGCCGGTTATGGATCTTCGAAGCGAGGTGAGTCTCCTTTCTAACCTTGTAAGAGGGAACTGTCCCCATAGGTGAATTAATTGATTATGTGCTCCTATTTGTGGGGGCTACGTACGCACGAGGTGACGAGAGTCCGTGCGTAGCTGCTATTATGCTATTGTCCGGGTAGTCTAGGACCCAAAAGCATGTTATACTTGGAATACTTATGAACCCATTGATAGCTTGAATTGCTTAAATCACACTGAATTAGTAAGTGAATTTTTTAAAAGGATTAAACTTCATTTTTTTAAAAATTTGTTAAAGGAGAATTGGTTTTATTTGGATAATTATTCCCCGATAAATTCCTAATTGGCTATTTGAGCATGTATTTTATGTGTACCTGCGTCGCATGGATGATTCGCGAGCAGGATGATTGTTTATTTTAATTTTGACCGCGT